TTCTTTCTTTCTTTCTTTCTTTCTTTCTTTCTTTCTTTCTTTCTTTCTTTCTTTCTTTCTTTCTTTCTTTCTTTCTTTCTTTCTCTCCTATAAAACATTTCAGCAGTAACATGGGTAGGACATCGTGATTATGAATGTCAGTGGAGAGGTGGAGAGGTGAATGGTCTCCAGCTTTTGAGGAGATGAAGACTGATCATTTGTGGTGCTGGACAGAAGTGGACAGAGAGAAACAATCTGCCTCAGTGGCAGGTTCTTCAACAATGAGAAATTTAGGTCTATCTATTTCGAATCCATATTAATTTCTTTAAAACTACACACTTGTATGGATTTTTTCAGCTTTTAAATGAAAATTGGTAAGAATAATCAGAATCCGAATGCTTTATTAATCCCTGCGGAAATTATGTGGCCACAGTAGCTCCAAGACAGTAAGAACAGTAACTAACTAAACTAAATTAAATCATACCGTATATTACAAAATTACAAAATATAACAAAAAAGATTTAAAAGATACAAATGACTCAGTTATGAATATCCCAGTATATAGCATTAAGACTGGGACTGAATTACAGAAGGATTCTGTATCTGAGGTTGCTGCTTTAAAGTCACAGTAGCCAAAATCTGTTGGAACAAAAGCTGCAAAATGCTTTACAACATTAAAGATTTTAAGAGTGCATCCATGGTGCTTCTATTCTATCCTACAGAAAGACAAAGCTAAACTCTTTTAATCTCTAACCTTTGCTTCCATAAGGCACAACACAACAAAGCAACCATAGAAAACAAAACATTGCATAAATCCAAATTTGAATGTAAACCCTGACATGCCACAGACGAAAATGTCATAGACACAACAAAACTGCAACACAAATGTGGGCTAAGCAGGCGTCAAACATCCAACTGATCAAACTTACATAATATCACTAATATGATGTCACAGATCAGGGGCACACAACCCTGCAGAGAAGCATTCAGGAGCTCACAAACCAGCCAGCAGTGAAACTACATCACTATTATGTCACAGAGCAGAGGGTGTAATGAGCTGCTGATTTAACTGCAGGACCAGTATTGTGTCACTGTGAAGTTGCTGCAGACAAGAGAGTCTGCTGTACACACTCTTGACTAAGTGAACATCTGTCCTAAATGCAGGATAGCAATTCACGACACGTGTAAATAGAAATCAGCCACCAGTCCTTGTGATCTTGAGTGGTGCTAATTCCCTCTTCTTCTGACTGCAGTTTTACAGCTTGAAAAAGCCCTTATCTGTTACCTGGTGCACATGTTTCTGAGCTTTGTAATGGCCCAAATAAAAGCGCAGGAACAATCAATGAACAGCATCTATGTGAGCAAAAACAACACTGTTAGGCAGATGAGACAGGCCATTGAAACTACAAGAAGTGCTGAAGAAGAACTGCAGAATGCAACATCCCGATGATTAGGAAACAAACATGGTTACGCAATGCTTCAAACTAGAATTTAAACAGTAAAATACAAACACTGAAAGTATTACAACATTTTCTTTTGTTCAGCAGCCTTTAGGCAAATCCACCCTGAAAATGTTGCATGCTAACCCTGGCTGAAGCACTGACCATGAGCCAAGGCATACAGCACTGGTGGTCTGTTGTTTTATTGTAAACTGATACTGCCTGGGTGTATAAACTTGTCATGTTCCCATTGTTTTCTCAGAGTCAGCTGTAGGCAGACAGAGTGAAGTTAACCTCCCTATCACCTCAACACCCCCATGTTTCACATATATGTCTTCAGGTGGAGAGTAATAATAATAATAATAATAATAATAATAATAATAATAATAATAATAATAATAATAATAATAATAATAATAATAATAATAATAATAATACAATGATATATTTCCATTCAAACCATCACATTACAAGTTAAGCATCTATTTTCACAGCAGCAGTTAAATAATACGTTTAAAAACGAGGTGAAATTGCTTATCATAATTCCGGCTGTACTGTTTGTAAAGAATGCGCACGACATTTCTATTACCCCTAGTGAGGATGTTAGAGGCGTTTTATAGAGCAATAAAAGCCGTAAATCAGTCACTTTTAAACGACCCCTGGTTCCTAACGTGTTTTACAGGGTCTGACACAGTAGTAGCCGCACACTGCACGTTCTCTGTGGCCTACCTACACAATCTGTGGCTGTCTGAGCTATGAATACACTTTGTGACAGCGTTATTGCACTGCCAGAGCCCGTGGATGGGGTGGATGCAGGCTATATGTATCATCGTTGATGCTTGTATATGCAAAAGCAGGAAGAAAAAAATGCCAGAGAGACGTGAAGGGAAGCAGATGCAGAACAATTCATCGACTGGCGTGGTATTTCAGTTGCCCATGTATTCCTGTAGAGACGTATTTGCGACTGCTTGTACTTCACACAAATTCGGTTCTACAGGGTATACATATAGACAACTAATGTGTTTTAGGTTAGACACTGTAAAAGGTCATCTCCCGGGCAAATATCTGTGGCAAGCAGGTTATCGTGCATTTCACAGTCGTGTCACAAGAAGCATCACAGTGGAAATACCACAGAAAGCGTGCGTCAAAGCGGATTCTGTTTATCAGGATTCAAGAAGCAAAGCCACAAACAACCCCACTCCTGCTATGGATACATCTACAAGCAAGGGAAAACACACATTTTAGGTCCTTTCTCTAAAAATAAAATATCCGTGAGTGCACACGTATGCCTACACACACACACACACACACACACACACACACACACACACACACACACACACACACACACACACACACAAAGCATAAAGACGCCGTACGCAGAGAACAGAAAGGGTCTCTTTTCTCAACATTCAGCCTCTGCCTTTGAGGTGCCTCCTATATGAATATTCAGCTACAAACACGAGGGATACAAAGGGACGGCGTGACAGCACACATGAAAAATAAGTTTCTATTGTTCCCAACCATTTCTTCTGCTTGCTATTACCATACTGACCGCTCGGTAACCTTTCTTGCTGCCACTCTGGAAGCTAATGAGAAAAGCCTCGGATGAAAAATGCAATATCAGACATGTGACCTGTTTCGGGGTTATTAAAAACAGCAAACATGCTCAGATTGTGAATCAATGGAATTGATTAGAGCGGTGATGCACAGGGTGCTTCAAACACTGTCAAAAAACATCTCAATCTACATATTTCTCCGCCAGCATCCCGCGCATCAATTTGATTTTTTAAAATTGATTAACAAAGCCTCCCGCCCCAACACACACAGTGAACTCCCGAGAAGTGGTAACAAAAAAATCTAACTCATATTCATTTGGATTTTTTTCATATTCTCATCAAAAGACATGCTGTTTGTCGTGCACACAACCAGTGTGAAAGGAGCTACATACACACCACCTACTCCCTCTCGCCCCATGCGCTCTGGCGGACGCATTTTAATATTAGTTAGACAGCCTGACCCGCGTTTCACCCCTCGCGTTTGACTGGTTCCAATAGTTCACTGCCAAGGATTATTGATGGAGAGACAGCAATGAATTCTTTCTCCCCACAAATGGCTTTCAGATCGTGCACCTAGTTCAATAACTAGTTATAATGTAGAAGTACAAAAAATGAGGCCCTCAGGCAGACTAATTTGATGTTTCATTTGTTCATTTGAGAAATTAAGCTTTCCCTTTTCCTCCCCTGCAAAATAACAGCCTTACAAGCGTGTTCACACATGTACATATGTAAACAAAATAAATCTGTGCAAAACTATGTGGAGGTCGTTCTGTCCACGCAGTGCTGCTCTTTTTCTTTTTTCTTTTTTTTAATTTGGTGGCCGAGTACCTGACCTGGATGCAGACAGTGCAGCAATATTGTGCTCCCTGATGAAAACGGTTACGATGCGCTTTTAATCAAACTCTTAACCTAATAGCCTTTCCACGTTTACTCTCCCCAGGTGTAATAACGTTAAGCTGTATCGTCCAGTTAAAATAAAAAGTTTTAATGAAGTGCAGACAGACTGGAGACTAGTTGGATATGAATACTCTTTAAAAAGCAGCAGCCAAGGGAGCAAAGGCGGTTTCAGAAACCAGATTCCTCCTATAAACAGTTGGTTGGTTTCGAAGCAATGATGTGGTTCATAAGACTCACTGCGCAGTTAAATCCGGCTAACTGGCACTGCAAGAAGTTGAGAGGATAGGATGGTAATTCCATCTTAAGTTTTTGTTTAGGCGTCCAATGTTGGAAATCGTAAGAAACGAGACACAGAACATAACGCCAGAGTGTCTGGATAAATTAAGTGGAAGTGCAGATATTAAGGTGGTTGCTGTCATTGAAAAAGCAACTCCGCCAGACAAGCTTTACTCTCAAATAAAGGTAGGCAGATAAGCGTGGGGCAATGCGTAACACTTACTATTAAATCCGCAGTCTCACTCACGTTGGCTCGTTGAAATGCCTGAAAAATAGAGAGAAAGAACGAAAAGAATTAAAAGGGTAATCATGACAAAATGGTTCATAAAGGTCCATAAAAAATTTCCTCATTAAGTGACAAAATGAATTTTTGCACCCAAACTGCAAAAATAAAATTCTCGAGGAAGAAATTAGCTTTATAATTTGTTCAATTAATATTTTATTTTTAAAACATGTATTAGACACCCCCCCCCCTCAAAAAAAAAAGAATAGAAAGAAAATGTTACTCAGTGTTCTCTAAATTAACGAAGCAACCTATTTGTCACGCATTTGAAGATGCCATAAACATATGCGGTGTCCGTACCATATTTCCGGTTTTTGCTCCAATTTTAAAAAGCCACTGTATAATCTAAAAATAAATCTAAATATATAAATTGGCCACATACAAATATGAAAAGGAGATTATATAATACAATCGAAAGCCACAAATGTATTTCATTATAATGATTTCCTTCGTGTTTCCTACAGTAAATCACTCAAAGTTCAAATACAGAAAGAAACTGTTTGCATGTGTTTCCTTTTTTCCTAATGACCCGTCAGTCCGTCCCTTTGCCTCTCATATCCTCTGCTATCTACTTAAGCGAGGCTGTCCTAGAAAAGCTCTGACATGTGTAGGGCTGCTGCAGAACTGGGACCGAGGGCGAAAATTTAGGACGGGTCATTTTCAGACAGTAAAAGTAAATTTACAACCATTTTGGTATTTCCTTGGGCAAATTTTCTAAGAATAGAAATCCCAGGACTTCCAGAGCGCTGTGGAATTATGGCGGAGAGTCAATGATAATTCAAAAAAAAACAAAACAACTAGTTTGTCTTCACATTGTAAATCAATTCTTGCTGAGTTAAACAAAACAACCGATGTAATAGGACTTTATGGTTTTTATTTGGGCTCAGACAAAAGGATGTTTGTGTTCACCCGGAAATGACCTCCGAGGTTTGAATGATGACAATGTCAGCTCCACAGGTCAAAGAAAGGAATACGACAGCTCAGAACATGGCAGTGAAAACGGATGTTTGTGCCATTTCACTTTTATTGTGATGCTATAAGAGTGTTTTTGGAAAGGTCTGTCCTAGTTTTTGTGAGGTTAAACCAGGTCTTTCATTCAAAGTGCCTAAAAAGTACTGAGAGTAAAATTAGTTCGATTGTAATAAGCGCCCTGTAGCCCCATGGATGTGGCAAAACACACGTTAATATTTGTTTCTAATTTATTGTAAAAGAAAAAATATATTTACTAGTCATTTCTGCAGGAAAACAAATATTTTCCTTTTGTTTTGTTTCATTTTAGTGCGAGAGTTATGGGAGTTAATGGGATATGACAAATGTCTGTATTACGTAAAAAAGCAACGAAATTGCTTTTGAAAAAAGGAGGAAATAAAAAATAATAATGAGAAGAAAGAGGAACTAACAATGCCCTGACTTGGACACGTTGCCCCCGCAGTGTATCACTCACACAGCAGCGTGTTATACAGTGCCCCCTATTGAAAGTGTATAATTTTTCCCCTGCACACCTGAAAGCAAACCAGGACAGACTTTACGTATTCCACATAAAGAAAATATTAAAAATAGGTTTGTAAAGCCAGGTCTGGAGAGATGCGGTAAGTGGTCAGCCTTCAGTGCATTTGTGCACAACCTAAAGCCTCGAAACTCCTCATTTGGAAGAAAGCTGACTCAAATACTTTGTTTTGTGATTTTTAATTCTCACATTATGCAGCATTTACAGCCTGTAAATTCCTGATTCACCTTGTGCCTAACAGCATAGCTGAACACACCCAAAAAGTCTTACTGTTAGAGTCATCCATTCGCAGTTTCACACATTGAAGAAAGAGCAGCTTTTCTAAGCTGAACTACTTTCTAGGACGTTTTTAAAATAATGTAGCCTAAAGAAAAGCAGAAACTCGTTTAGGTTATAAGATCACATAGTTTTAAGACTGATAACACATTTCTGCAAAACATGCACATGCACGCCTCGAGCTAACACTAGTGCTGCCTTTCGTAATATTTCAGTTTGGATAATGGCATATTTGAACTGCAAAAATGCCTTTGACTCAAGCCTGTTCCTTTGGCCCAGACATGACCCTAAAACAATATGAACATCGGCTGATGAGTGCAAACAGTAACTTCGAGTCATGGTAGTCAGGTGGTTTTGCACTAATAAGCCTCATTTTGTGAACTAATGCATTCTTTTAACCATCAGAGCCACCTTTTAGCACAACACAGAACAACACAGAACAAATGTCACAAAATATGCTTCAAAACGCTGTGTATATTTTCAAAAAAGCGCATTTTCTTCCATCCAAGCGTCTGAAACCACGGCGCTTTTATTTAGAATTTCCGTATGTCACATGGAGGTAAGAGTACGAGGGGGATATTGGAAATGAGAGGGAGAGAGAGGGTGTAGTGGTTAGTGAGACGGGACGCCAGATTATTTTTGATAGTTCTGCCTGAACTTTCATTTTCCTCCTCCCTTTCTCTCTCTCTCTCCTTCTCTCTTTCTCACACAACACACACACACACACACACACACACACACACACACACACACACACACACACACACACACCACACACACACACACACACACACACACACACACACACACACACACACACACACCTAAATATATTATTTTCTCACTCTGACATTAAGAAGAAAACTGTTGAATCAAATCACATCCACCGCATGAAAATATGCGTAGGCCTATATTCTGTAATTTGCCAAGAATAAAATGCAACAGCCTTCAAATAAAAGGCTAATAATGGTTTAAAACGTGGCTCCTTAACACAAAATATCAGTGATCGATATATCCGTACGAGAAACTTTTTGAATATTATAAAAGAGCAAAGATACAATAAAACGTGTGAAAACAATCATTTTTTCCGGGTGCTTAAAAATATGGCACAGTTTCATAAATACTCGCTGCGAATTAGTACATAGCGTCAATTTAGGCTCTAATCTGTTTAACAGTCACGCATTCAGTTACAATATAAAACAAAAACTACGCAGTTCAGTGAGCGGCACAGCGCGCAGGCCTGTAGGCAAAGTAAAAACCAACTTACTGCAACAGCTCTCAGTCCTCCGCACCACTCGACTACACAGTCCAAAGAAAGGTACTGCATCCTCACTGCCACAAAGCCCTTTCTTCCTCCGATAAGGGGAAGCAGGCAGCTGCGATTCCGGACAGTTAAGATTATATATGATGTGTATATATCGAAGGTTTGTCAGCTCTTCCAGGCCATAAAACCCACTTAAATGACACCACGTGCTTCCTATGCACCATTCACAGGCCCTGCTTGAGGCAATTGGCATATGTAACCTTGTAAACTTTAAAATACCCTAAAAGAAAGACATACAAAAAGGGATTGAATGCGTTGTCCATGTATAGGTTAGGCCCAACAGAGCGCAGAGAAAGTGGACGCTGCGCTGACCGGTTCTCATAACCGTCAAGGAAGTCAATAGGAAGCTATTAGTTTAAGAGGTGAGTTGATTTTTATTTTCTTTAAGTAGTGCTAGACAGAATTACCTCATAACCTTGGGCTATTCTGCGTCACGCCACTTCTTCTACTAAAACTGCCGCTACATTCAACAATGGCGTGATTTTATGTCCGCTATGCTACCACATAGCGATGTTTTAACAGCAGTGTAATGATAGCAGGATTAAAGAGCAAGGCGACATGACAAAAGTAGCCATATGGCCTCAGCGGTGATGACGCGCCAGTGTGCGGTCACAGGAAACCAAAGTTTTGCATCCACGTTGTGTCGTGGGTGAGTGTTATCACAGGCAAGTGCGTCCCTTCCTTCCCTGACAAAACAGGAAACGGAGTGTGCGTGTGGTGGAGTGCTGGAGAAGGGGGCAATAAAGTTTTATGGGGGCCTTAGACTTCCGAGCGCGTTTGTGAGTCAATGAAAATCTGTTGATTTCGTGGCTCAAATGGGACAACGCATTTATAAATGGCTTTGATAGTGAACTGAATTCCGCCAGCCAACCCTCGAAATGTGTTTTAAATAATAATAATAAATAATAATAATAATAATAATAATAATAAACGTGCATGCTGACAGCAGGGAATTCCCTTACTTTTAATGAGTCTTTATTGGTTACAATCAACGAACAGGCCATCTATCAGTTATTGTAGGCCCAGTGTTAATCAGGCACCTTAAGTTTACAAAGGAGGGAAGAGAAATTGTTCCATTGCACATTACAACATTATCACAAACAGCCACTGAATTGTACATAATGATTCAAGAGTCACAAGAATATGACAGACAACAGGGATGGTGTCTTCACACGAAATCCACTCACGAGGACATTGCTTATTGAACACACATTCAACAGCATCCTAAATGCAACATGTCACAGAGTAAATTTCAAAGAAAAAGAAAAAAATGGAGAGAAGTAGTATTTGTAAGACAACTTAACTGTTGCTAAGGATTTTCAGATAAGTCAGAATTAGTATTTATTTTGACTTTATTTGATTCACTGACCCCTTTGATGCATGGTGATATAAAGTTGGGAGCTATTCAGGTTACCTCTCGCTTACATAATTTAAGAACATTTTATTTTTTTCTTCTTTTAGTGTTTGTGTGCACCTTTTCAGTGTACTGCAGACCAAAGCTTTGCAGCGGGACGGTTCCAGCTAACCCTCGACCCCCTGTTCCTCTCGTGCAGTAAAGTGAGGCTATCATCGCATGGGCAGCAAATTAATTTAGAAATGTAAACCGATTGATCAAAGTGAGCGATATTCAATACATTAGGTCCCAAACTGCAGCAAGTGACACATAATTGGTGATGAAGCACACAGAGCGGTGTCGTGATGTCATTGCTCCTAGCAGTTCATCCGAAGGTCAGGCGGCACTCCAGCATTGTGCAGTGAGGGGCTGAAAACGTGCTGCATGCACCGCGTTCGCTGATGCCATTTTTACTCCTTCACTTTGATTTTTGAGTCCTTCTTCCACTTCATTCGTCTGTTCTGGAACCAGATTTTGATCTGCCTCTCGTTTAGACACAGAGTGTGGGCGATCTCTATGCGCCTGCGGCGGCTCAGGTACCGGTTGAAGTGAAACTCTTTCTCCAGCTCCAGAGTCTGATAGCGGGTGTAACTGGTCCTGGACCGCTTACCCTCCGATTCTGAAGTGGTATTAAAATAAGTTAGCTTTCAGCAGCATTAGAGTGGAAAAAAAATAAGTGGAATATAAATAATAGGCTAATAATATCATTACATTCATTACTATTACATGTTATTACAAAGCCTGGATACCCATAAGCACTACAAGCAAGGATCCATTAATTTAAATCCCCTTCAACCCCCATTTAAAAGATCAAAAATCTTTATATAACCTAATTTTAACCTGATATTACTTACTGTGGACTTGTGCAATAAAAATTTATGTTCATGCAGATAAGGATGGTTAACTAGACCCTTAATATAAATATGCTCAGTGCAGGGGAAGAGGGCCCACTTAATCCTTTCACAGCAAAACATAAAAAATACAAAATATTACTTAATGCATCTTATCATGATTTAATGCTTAGAAGTTGATAACTAAAAATATGTGGGCCTCTCGATAAAACCCTGGCCTCGGTTTAATAACGATGCACTGGAGTAGGATGTTGTGGGGGAGAAGCAGATATGTAAACTATAAAAAAAAAAGGAGGGGGCGGGGGGGGGGGAGAAAAACTGGGTTGAAGAAAGTGATGTTTTCCAGATACTTTTTTCAGATTTCCGTGGGTACATGCGTGCAAAGCAACGGAGCTGTGCTTTTGGAAAAAATAAAATAATTTCAACAACCCTGCAGTGTGTTTCTAGATATTTGCATATGGAGGCTCATAATAAAAACAGCATCTTTTGCAGCAAATGTGCTCCCTGTACGTCTCGCTGCCTCAACAGTACGCCAGTGGTTTGAAGGCATAGAGAAGAAGCATGCCTATTCAGATCTTTTAGAGGTGAAAAGTTCATGATTGGGTCAGGGCATTGGTGTTTGACAGAGTTCAATTTAAGGCTAAAGCTTCTCTCTCACAGTGTGTGTGCTGATGCAAAACACATAGCTAGACCAAGTCTATAAACGAAGCATGGCAAAAACTAATACTTAATGCTGCATTTGTAATATTATTCCATAGTTTTATCGCATTTTTGTTCTCTTATCCAATTATGCCACCATAAATCACAGCGCAGATCACATCTTCACCGTAACAGAGCAGGTTTACGAGCAATGGATGCCTTTGTCATAAAATTTATGACCGCGAGTTTTTATTATTTCCTGCGTTTGGCCTATAAAACTCAAGAGGGACACTGGAACGGGCAAAAAGAAGTGTTGTAGCGTTAAGGGTGAATAAGGGAAAGCATCTTAGCTGCACTTTAGAAAATATGCAAACTTTACCGTGGCTCATGTGCAGTTTTGTCATCCATGGATAAATCTGTGGTCGCTGCTCACTATCCTCAGGCTGGTTCACGTTTGTGTTTCGTTTCACGGACTGCGTGTTATCCGCGTTTCTGTCGCTCTCCTGGCTCATGTTGCCGCCGGATTTTGCGCTTCTCTCCGGGTCTCTGCCAGCCCCACGTCCGAGCAGCTTACTGCTGCCGTAGCTGAGCCCGCTGGCGTCCACAGACGAGCTACTGGAGACCATGGTTATTTGTGGTCCTGACGGGAGTGGAATATCCGTATTGCCACGCAGGCTAGTTTTCATCTCCTCCCGTTGAACAGAGGTCGTGGGGACGGGACAAGAGAATATCCCGTTCACATTAACACCCTCATAATGGCTGGACACGCGCCCAGATAGATCGAAACTAAACATAGTGTTAGGAGAACTTGTCTCGCTTGTTTGCCTGAGACTGGAGCTGTCAACAGAGCTCATTTCAAACTACCACCGACACTTTCTTTTTAAACTAGACAGGGCTGCGGGCTACACGTTGCGGGTATTTCCTTGTTTTTGTTGATCATTGCTTTTCTTTGTTGCCGCTTTTGGAAAATTCACAGCTGTCTGCCCTAAAAAATAATCCAGGATTTATAGGTGGAGTAGGCTTTGGTATCTTTTTTTAATTCTTGATCCGACGTGGGCTGCCCAAATATGGGGTATTTGTACGGGATCACGTGCGCATGTTGGCCAGTCATAAATTGGCTTTGATACTCAATGGGGATATTGATGAATAGGAGAAACGTGTCCGGTAAACTTTGAGCTGTTGGTTGTTGAGGACCAGGCAGGGATCTTTAGCGCAAAAAGGGCAGGACAGTAAGACAAGAGCGTCATCTGGTGTCTGGTATGGGGCAAGACGGTCAAGACCGGTCAGCTCTGTGCCCTGGACCCGCTGCCAGTCCACCATCACCAATAATAATAATAATAATAATAATAATAATAATAATAATAATAATAATAATAATAATAATAATAATAATAATAATAATAATAATAATAAAGCTAGGTTAAAATATATCTACGCGGATGGACTTGAAACTTGAACGTTGTTGGGAGTTTATATTACTACAGCTACGGGGATGTTATCGTGTTTAACAGTAGCTTAACAGTAGCTAATTCCTGTGCCATACCAATATCGGCGTCGAACAAACAGGTCTCATGTTTTGGAGAAACAAAAATTGCTTAAAAATATATGTTTAACGTCAAATCCTCCCTTTCTTGCCTACACAGCTTCCGGACCAAACAGGCCACGACAAAAAAAATCTTTAAAATTTAAAGAAAAGCAAAAGAAGAAAGAAATAGCAAACTTTCACAGTCCACGTTTAGGAAATCTCTTCGTATTTTTATTACGTATTTATGGGATCTGTCTTCATCTGACTCATGAAACAGACAAGACGAAGGTGAAAGTTTTACAAACATTTTATTCCGTGATACACAGTTATGACAAAACATTAATGTTTGACTCTCAAACAAAGGTGAAGAATTACTAGTGTACAAATCTATCTCACGAGGAAGCATGTTGTGTCAAATGGTCAATGATCTTATGTTATGCAGCGTCTACCAAAGCGGCTAAATGCACATTACGTTTCCACGGGATTTACGTTATATACCGTTACTTTTATCATGTACAGACATTATGGTTTTTGTTTGTTTGTGTGTGTTCGCGCGCGCGCGTGTGTGTGCGTGTGTGTCTGTGCGTGTCTGTGTGTGCATGTGTGTGTTCGGACTGGAGACTACTACTTTTAGTTTGATGCAGGGCCCATTTTCCTGCGGACGATTCAAGTAATAGATTACATTGTGATCAAGTGTCCGCCCGCTCTTTTGCCTCCATGGAATGCGCATGTACAGTAATGAGTTTAGTCAGATCAACACTGTATTATAGTGAGGTGATCAAAGAGTTTCACAGTGATGGATGGGTGTGTGAGAGGGGGGTAGGTAAATATACAGATTTCCTGGCATAGGAAGATAGGTAGAAATTAATACTTCTTTTTATTTCCACAATACAAGTGTGATATTTGCAATAAAAAACAAAACAAAAACAAAAAACCCTCAGTTCTCCACACAACACAGCGGCCAAACTGTGGCTGAAATAATTTTGGATTTCTAAGGATCAACACTCCTGTGGTCCAACACGAAATAAAATTGGTGAGAGCTGCGTGGTAGCAATCATGCGGTGAAGTCGCTCTCGAGTCCATGTAGATTTTTAGGTAGTTATGTTGGTTTGTAATGGTCATCGTGTGGTTTTTATAATTTTTTATTATTATTATTATTTTGAGCTATTCTTTCTTCTTGTCTTCATCCTTCCCTTCTTCCATTGCGCCATTGCGTTCCTGCTCTTGAGACGCTCCTGTCTGTTCAGTTCCTGTCACCGTGGAGGTCAGGTTGCTCTCTTTCTTCCATTTCATGCGTCGGTTCTGAAACCAGATTTTGATCTGCCGCTCTGTTAAACAAAGCGCATTCGCGATCTCGATGCGTCTGCGCCTGGTCAGGTAGCGATTGAAATGAAATTCCTTCTCCAGCTCAAGCGTTTGGTAACGAGAGTATATTTGTCGTCCTCTGCGTCTGTCTGTCCCGTAGCCGACTCCTGCTGGGAGACAAAGTAAAGTCACTCATTTAAGCTTTAACAGCGCGAAGTCACGTTTGGGTTTCAAATAAAACGTGCCTCTGCCTGGAGTCTGTTCATACTTGGAGGCAACTGAGCATAAGTTGGTTATTTTTTTTTTTTTTTTGCCTCGTTGTTAGATTCATAATTGCAATCTAAATCCACAGAGAAAAATAAACGCATTTTAACTGGAAGGGGAAAATATATCTCAAAGGATATCTTTGCTGTATTATCTAAAATTATTAAAGCTTCTTAAGTAGTCTCTCTATCTCACTCTACTGATTATGGCTACTATATCATTCTTAAAATGAAAGCTGTTTGTTTGCACATGTTAAGGCCCATCTACAAGTCGAGGGGATACAGTAATGTTTTATGGGGCCATAAAAAGTAACTTGCTCTCTTGGTAAGACATATCGTAAAACTGGCCCATTTCCTTAATTTATTTGTCGTAGTAAAACTCACCGCCGTGTGAGTTCATTCGCTGCATCCACGGGTAGATCGGGATGTTACTTTTCTGCTCCTGAGCTGCTGCTCTTCCTTGATCCAGACTGTACTCTTGAGCAATGTGGCTTTGTGTATTGAGTCCCATATTTGTTTGTCTGCAGCTGGGAAGCACGTCCTTGTCTTGAAGAAACACGTTTGATCCATACTCATACTGTGCCCTGCCAGACCCAAACACCACATTATCTTGAGGAGAGTAGAAAGGTGCATATATCCGATTCTGGGTCACAGCGGCACCGTACGACGAAAAATGTCTAACTGTGTCATAGGTGGTGGAGTTTAGGGGTACGTTAGGCAAAACATCTTGACCACCGGATAAATGGCAGGAGAGCGACGGGTTCGCGAAATAAGAATTCATACCTTGCTTGTAACCCTCTCTCCAACTCTCCCCACTTCTTTATCGGTCTCTTTTCAATCTCCTTCTCAGTAAATCTCCTTCCCCTCTGTGTCAACCAACCACACCTTTCTCCAAGGTCTTCTTTTTTTCCTCGACTTTCTGCCTCTGTAACTGGACGTGAGCTACTTTGAGGATTCAATATTATTAATTTCCAATCTCCGGTTAAGACGCACAAACCCGAGTGTTATAGCCGAGGCTTGGCTCGGTGAGAGACAATATGACAATGTCAGCTGACCATTCTCAACCAATTGAGAGGCAGGAGTTGAGGAGAAACTGTAGCTTTTAGCTCAGAGCTTGAACATTACGGCTAAATGTCGATAAACACAACGTAGACTTGGAGTGGCACACTATACAGCTTGGCTGAGTGAGAAGTTTTTGGCTTGAAGTTTATGAGCATGTGTCGTTTAAGCAGAAAGCAAGATGGAAAGCGTGGCCAATGTCATTCAGGACAGAGACCACATTCAGAGGAAGGAAGGAGATGGAGAATTCTAATGAAAAACACGTGAAATATTATACAAAATGCCTATTAAATAGTGACCAATAGAAAAAATAACACGGATATTAAAGCTGTTTACTAATGCAAAGCCATGAACTGTCATACTAAGTTCTCGTGTGAGTGATCGTGTGTGCGCATGTGTGTGTCCTATACCCAGTTTTAATCCATAATACAACATACACTGCTGTTTATCTCAGCCATATCAACGACTTTCCAATTTCCATGCTTTTGCAGTGACCTGGGGGAGGGTGTCGGCGGTAAGAATGCGTTTATGGTCTCTCTTCTGTGAGGGCAATAAAACAAGTGACGTTCCCCAGCTCACCAACAACTATCTCTGCAGCAAAGCCTTGAAACACAGGCAGCAATCTCTCCCGCTAAGAATCAAAAAGCACTGCACAGCGTGTGGAGGCAAAGCAAAGACACAATCGCGTGCAGGACAGGTATGGCACAGAAAGGGGAAAAAAGAATGAAAAAAAATGCTCCTGTGAAGATGACTTCTGCCACCATCTTGAAAAAAGAATCCAATCAGTTGTGCGATCGTGCAAACCTGCTCATCAATGCTCACTGCTATTTCTCAGGTATAGTCTGTTCAAACTCACAATAAAGAACACTTTACTTCAAATTAATTAAGCAAAAAATGTAATAGGCAACATGTTAAAATGCTTATGCAGATGTTCCAGTCTCTTTTTTCTCTCTCTCCTTGTGATCGTGCTTTGACATTCCTGTGACACACACACAGAGGAAACGGGAACCGATTATTATCTCAGCACCAAATGATGGGTTTGGAAATTACTTTAGAGGCGTTTTGCAGAATTCTAGAAAAACTTGATCACGTGTTTTGACCTAAACGAGCTGCCTCCAAAATCTGCATTAGACGAGATCGCAGTGCGCTAATTTTCATTTTCATTTTAGAAAAACTTTTCAGATGAATTAAAACTAAAACGCCACACGTGCTTTCGAAGTAGTTTTCCAAATTAATGTGGCCGGTTTTTGTTTTGTTTTTTAATTTACTTTAATTTATTTTATTTTTTTTAAACAAGCCGCATCAGATAGCAATATAATAATAATAACAACAACAATCAATAACGCTATTGAAAAAGTCTGTTAAACGCAGCCCCACTGGCTGCAACAGCCTATTGGTTCACCTCATTGATTTCTTCAATGGAGTGAATTCGTGCAGCCTAAACGTGCAACACTGTTTGGTCTGTTGTTTGGGATCCTGAATAGCCCATAAAAGAGACAAGAACAAAGAGAAGGAAGTAGCTGGTGCAGTAAAAGTTTCCCTTCAACTATTTGTGACCATATGTGACATCCGCGTCGCACAGATTTGAGGCAAATAAAGCGCAAAAGTTGGAGCCTGCAGTTTTCCTAAATTTCCGTCCTGGGACTGTTCTTTTTCCCCTCTTCTTTTTGATATCCAGAAACGAAATCACTTGATGACGGAGGTTAAACCAACACTTATAGCAGGAGTAAACTACTCGGGGTCCCAGTTTGTTTAGTGAACTTCTACCCTTCAGTGTGGTGTAATTTCAAAGGAGACCAAATTGTTGCAAACATTAAAAAAGTCAGTTCCCCCACTTTGACTGGAACTTGAATCCCACCAAAGTAAATATGAACAAAACGCAAATAAAATTGAAGTTTGTGATATTATATTTTTAGTCAATCCGCCCTCATGGTGGCAGAAACGGAATGTGCAATAGATTTGTGAAAGCTTTCCTTTGTTTAACCATTTCTGCTGTCGTCACCAAGTAGTCGGCATAATTTATTCCACACTGCAAAGTGTTTCAGATTAACACAATTTTCAGCAATCTCTATTCCATCAAAATCCACTCGAATTATTTGAGTTCTCAACCACAGATTTTCCTTATTGTTATTTACACACACACACACACACACAACACACACACACACACACACACAACACTACTCACACACACACACAACCAGAAAGAACAAGAGCGTCTAATTTGGGATTTGTAAATAAAAGCTGAACAGTAAAGCCAATGTGCGGACTGGAGAGACTGGAATGCAGGAGAGCTTGTGTCAGTGTGCAGAATTAGAAAGGTCATTCTTTCCCTTGTGTTTTAGTGTTTTATTGCGGCCCGTGAGGCAAATTACGCGCACGACATTTGATGCAGGGAGGAGAGGAACCGTTTGGTGCGCGTTTCCACAATTTTTAAAAGAACATTATGTCCAGCGACGAATGCGTGAACCAGGAAAAGTAAAAATATAAATTACTATCAATACCCTAACATCCTGTTTCTAACCATGGGAATTAATAAAGATCATTCATAATTAATTCCTCAGTGTTATATGCCCTGAATTTGTAGTTTTATATGGTGATGCGCAACGAAGGCATAAACTAAGCTATTATTAATATTATTATTATTATTATTATTATTATTATTATTATTATTATTATTATTATTATTATTATTATTATTATTGGTTGAATTCTTACGCTTTGATGTGTTCTTGTGCTGAAGGCCTAACTTTGATAGCCCGCGCTCTGCAGCACAACATGGCCCATCAACATCTACGGTTGCTTCTATTTTTTTCTTAAACACAGCTTTCAATATCCAACATCACAACATCACTCAGCATTAGTTATACGGGACCCTTAAAATTTCTACATTATCGGCCATGATTAAAAACGCAGCAAGAGGGGCAAAGTCTGGTCATCCTCTGATGCTTTTTCCTCTCCCCCGCTTCTAACCTTACTAATAAGGAGTAATTCACATACTAACAATGTAAAGCCCTCTATAAGCACTTTACCATCGCTGGCTAGCCCAATTAATGTCCGGAAGTGTTCGACTTTATGCTCGTTAAGCACTCAGGAAGCTGTTGCCCAATGAGCGCATGTTGATCCACACATCATAAATTATGGCCATTAGTAGGCAAAATTTTGGTCCTGTCGGGATTTGTAAGTGAGGTTCTAAATGTGGTGATGCGGACAGATTCATGACTTCATGGAGTTTAATGCGAGCCTATCTCTGGGTTTAAAAAACACTGCAGGGCAAAACAATGGGCTGTGGTTTTCCCTTATTATTTCAACCAAGATTTACCTAACAACTCAAATGGCATCTATTAAATGGGCCCTCTTTCGCTCTCTCCCTCTGTCTTTCTCTCTCTCTTCTGCAGGCATAGTGCTGGGCAGCAGCGGACACGATCCATTGCAACAGCAATGTTTCATAAGGGAAAAACAAACAACGTGTTTAACAGTAGGTTATAAGAATTTAAAGGCTTTCACAACGAGGCTTTGCCAATAATTGTATTTTACAAGATTGAAACGCTGGACTGCTGAGACAGAAACAGATCACGTCGCTTTATTACATAAAAAATATTTAGTCTCCACACAGAGAAGAGAGGACAATTCCTCAAGCTAAGCTTTGATGAAACAACATCGCCAAACTTCAAATGCACAGCCTGCAGTCTCCCACACACACACACACACACACACACACACACACACACACACACACACACACACACACACACACACACCGTGTTATTTAAGATGTCTTTGGATACTTGTGCAATGGATACACTTCGTATATATTTTGTCTTACACTGATACTCCAATTCATTATCCTTCTGTTTTTTACTGAGGCTTTCGTGGTTTCTGTCTCTCCCACACACACACACACACACACACACTTGACGAGTTTAAACCTCATTCTGTGTTTTTTTCATATGAAGTCCAGAATAACGTAAAAGAATTGATCTGGATTTATTTTAATCAATACATTTATTTAATTGTTTTAGTATTTTTAGACGTGTTTAAAAGAAATTTGGGGAAGTGAAATGTATATGATGCAATGTCCCACCATTCATGCACAATATGCTATAAACAATGCACTGTATACACTCATTCTGTCTCACTTATGACGACACATTTGCTACTGTTAAATGTCCACTGCTGTTGCTCTTGGTGTTGTTGATATTGTGCATATTTGATACAATTTTGAACTTATTACTTACTCGTCCTATTTTATTTTTTTTGCCGGTGCTGTAAATAAAATGAAATGTTAACTCTCACGAATGTCGTGGCGTGCTTATGTGACAAAGCAATATCTTCTACAAATCACTTCATCTCATCATGCTAAAACGAAAACAATAAAACAGACGAATCTCATTCTCCAAAGTGACAACAACAAATCAGAAACACTCCTCGGTGTCAGGTCGAGCAGTTACTCGCTGGCAGCAGTGTATCAGCTGACATCCGCAGTGAACCGCCGCCGAAAACCAGCAGCCATAAACATCAAGCCTCAACACCCGCCCACCTCCACATATAACGCCTCTTGTCGCTAGGGGGCACTGCCGGGAGACACCAGGGTGTCACTGTGTACATACTGTGAGCCTATGTGTTTCTCGTGTGTGCGTGTGACATAGGGATGTGTGAAATTGCCTATAGATGTTATGCAGGCTTCTGGCAGAAACTGGGTTAAACGTGTGGCAGCAGATGTGAAAACAAACCATAATTAGAGAACATCAGCCAGAAATTAATATCATTCGTCACTGCCTGGTGAGAAGGGCCTATGTGAGTGATGAGAAAGTTTACTATCACAAGGCAATCAATTACATCGGGTTGGCACAGCGCCTTTAAAAATACACACTGGATGTAGGCTGAAGCAGCCACTACCCACACAGGTGCTGCCACATCAGCCAGAAAGAAATAATGACAACCGCCCCGGGCTTCAGCACCCTCCCAGGCTACAGGTCAGGTCACAACTACACTGAATAGACACCTTCAGTTCACATGATCTCACACGTTCATAATTTTCACAATCATCTCAACGCCACAAGGACCAGCCGATTGAGAAAGATCATTAAACAGTTAAGAAAAGCAGCTAGTAAAGTGTATAATCTTACCCCCAGCAGGCTCTCCACAATTTCGAGCGTCACTGTGGTCCAACAAAGCAGCTGAAGGGTCACGATGGCGAGTGGGATATATCAACACAACGCACATCTCCTCTGTGCTGCTGGCTGTGTTCACATTCCGGCGATAAGCAGCTTATGGAGACAGGGTGTCTGCCGGGAAAAGTCTTTTCTAGCAGGCTTTCTTCTTCCATTTGCTGTCCCAGTGGTTTTATTGCCTCCGGTGGGGGAATAAACGCAGGCAGCGGCTGGTAGAGGCGGTGACTGTCCCGAAGATCTCTCTGTCAGGAAGTCGGGGATCGGGTGAATAACACGCGCGGCAGTGCCAAGATGACTGTGCAGCATTTTTTTTTCTTTAAATATTACAATAAAGGGAAATAATATGTTTCTACGCCCCAGCTTAGTCTGCTGCTGATACAGGGGAAGGACCAGAGAATAGACAACAGCATAAAGTTCATGTTCATAGCGCCTGTGCCACGTGGCTCGCTTCAGCCAATGGCAGAAAGGATTCAGTCGTAAACTTTTATTACTCAGCTGTAAATTTCTCCTTTTAACAACCAGGAATGTTTGCACCCATCTTGTCTTTCCTCTCTTTTTTCTTCTTCTTTTTTTCGATTGAACAAAACTAAACCACCAATAATATAATACATGACAGCGAAATTCCCCATATGTCACATATCAGACATGTGTCAAAATATGACAGTTCCCCTGGTGGATGAGCTCTATGCCAAGATGTCCCCCAGACAAGTTGGGAACGTGGAAATAAAAGTGTGTGAGTGCGAAGGCGAGGTAGGGGAGTAAGAAAAGGACAGAAAGCGACGGAGACGCAACTAATTAAACTTCAATTAGGCTAAACTCTACTTCCATATAAGGGCCTGTGCTTCTCATACGGAAGCAAACAGATGTCAGGATAGTCTGCACCTCACATCCAATATCAAATACGCAGACACACCAGGTGCAAGCATAATATCAAAAATTATGCCTGCTGCAAGTCATTTGTAACAAAATATACATTTAAAAAAGCAGTTGAGATTTGAGCTGGAAAAGAGAACACTCTGTTAGGAAAAGAAATATACATACACTGCAAATGTTGTGCAAACCTTTAACGAAAGCTAACATCAGCACACGCAGAAAGAAAACAAAATATCTAATCGTTGCGCGTAAAATTCCTCACGCATAAAAAGTTAGGAGGTTAGGTGTTTTTTTTCTTGACCTTCAGCAAATATACTGTATCCTAATACTTGCGTAATAACAGAGAGACACGGATCAAGATGAGAACAACAGCAGACGTATTATTTAATTTAACACTAACACGCAGCTTTGTATCCCGTAAATCCTTTTACAGGAAGTCCTCTGGCTTCGCCTTGAAATAATCACCCGATGTGTCGTTTGATGGCGAGTAAAGCGCATTCTCTACAAGCTAAATAACCAACAAAATTTCCCTGACTTACTAGTTTGAGTGGTGCATCTTGTCCTTGCAGGCCGTCATCGCCACACGGAGCTGAGGCACACAAAAGATGCAGGCCGAGCCGCGTCTTTACCACCGCCAATAAAGTTTACAGCAGGTACACTTAACTTTATTGGTAATGTCAACCCTCTGTTAAAACTACACACACACACACAGAGAGAGAGAGAGAGAAACACACACACACACACACACACACACACACATTCACACAAAGGGGTAATACGGGATGCTGGATAGCTGTGACTGAGGGACACTTCCGGAAATTTTCTAGAGACAAAGCGCACGTAAACAGAGAAATAAACACCCTGAATTAAAAGGTTGCGCTTTGGCGCAACACTGTTTGATCCGAGAGAGAGAGAAAAAGTCACTGTTAGGGGGAAAGCCATAAAAAGAGGAGACGTGAAAGACTCCGACATCTTTTGGTCTCAGTCTGGATTGAGATGAAATGGGAATGTTTGATTGAAAAATAAGTTTCCAGTTAATGTGGATAAGTTTGCGTTTTTGCGAATAATGTTCACATAAAAAGCCTTGAACACTGCTTTCGTTCTGTCTTCCTTCGTTAGGCTGTGTTATGTTGTTACCCTTCAACACTATTTATTTATATTTATTAATTCATTTTGTTCAAATAAAAGAGGTCTGAAGCACAACAAGAGGTTAGTTCGTTTTTTGTTTTTTCCTTTTCTTTACAAAAGAATTCTTAGATGAGGATAATTTTCCAATTACGAGTGTGGGCTTAAATATAAATAGTTTCAATCGCACATTTCAATATGGACACTTTTTAACTACACATTATAAAATCCCCTAACACTTACTCCTTGGCATTGCATTTGCGTCCACAATGTTCCATATATGCACTGAAGCTTATTTGAACCGTTTATAAGTGAGCAAATAAAAAGCAACAGACTTTGAATAATTTAGCTGCCTAACGCTGAAATTCGGCAGCTAAATTATTCAAGTCCCGGGTCATGTTATGGTGTATTTACTACTATTATTTACTTTGAAATTACGTCTAATATTGCATTAAAATTGCAATAAATGCATTTTTTAAAGAAACAATATGTTGAAAATCATTCTGTTCTCAATTTGAAAAATTCAGATCCGGTTAAAAAAAGGGGGGTGAGGGGGGAATCAAACCAAGAGAAGGGTGAGGTCGAATTTCATGTTTTGAAAAAGAGGGTTCAAATTTCTGTTGAGGGCTAATATGATAGAGCAAGTACTGGTATTTTACCCCGTTAACAGCACGTTCAGAGACCCACATTGGTGTACCGTTTGATATTTATCGCAGTTTAGTCCTACTTGAGTGTGTTACTCAGATTTCACGTTGTCTGTTCACGTCCTCTGTCTATTACAACCCGTCATCATGAAAACCAGCTGGACTGCCGAAGAGAGATGTTACCTGTTACCTGCACTTGGCCTCCCCCGTTCGCTTTGATTTCAGCGCTCTGGTGCTTTTCCGGCGGATTGTCTGGACACAAGATTCACGCAACACCTTGCAAATGTATGGCCTCTGACAGATAAAGCCTCCCTCAAGCTCTGCCATTACTTTGTTTGATTATTAACATAGCACGTCAAATGTTTGCTCATCTCATCTCTCAAACAGCAATCAGTCATCCCGAGATTCATTAAGGAAAGCTTCGTGTCCTCCCTGAAGAGAGGAAGTTTCTTATTAAGAGGATGAATCAAATACGACTCAGGCTTTGGAGAGTAGGCCTGCTGTGAATGGGATTCGCTGTCTTTCCTTAAAAGGTAAAGAGATACATCCGCAAACGCGTGTCTGGCGCTTTTTTAATCGAACTGTTCTGAAAGTTTAAATTGGGAAAACTTTATTTAGGAGGCTTCTGCACTATCTTCCCTCCTGCCGAAGCACTTTTTGGATGCACAGGCTGAAAATCGAGGCATCATCAAATCATCAGTTTTGAATTATTCAAGGGGCTTTTCTGTTGCACGTTATCTACTTACTGTTGTCCGTGCATGAAAACAGGGGTTCATATTGAACTCTTTAAAAAAGAAAATACTACCCTGTATATTTTCACTTCACCTATGTCTGCATTGCATTTGTTTTGTGTACACGGAGAAAGGGTGGTGATGATGTTTGTTCTAACAACAGAGTGCACAGTCTTAATAAAACCAGAAATGATAGTGAGCCATCTTGTTTATTCGTGATTTTACATCAACAATGTCGGGGACACACAATTCCGTCTTTCACAGGAGAAACACCAGAAAACGAGCATATTGTTAACATCAATATATAACAAGACGTACATAAAGATTATATTCAGTGCAAAACAACTACGCTATATCACCAGCACATTAAAATAAAAATTCCCTTACTTTAAAATCGTTGTAATTGTAGCTGTTGTTATCATACACAGTACATGTGCGTTATAGGCAGTTTTAGTTGTTGGGGAAATAGCTTGCGATCAAATCAGAGCGATGCCATAAATGTGGAATATAAATTCTGCAAAGGCAAAGCTCTGAGTTTTTAGGTAGTGCTGTGGTACAATCTCAAAAGTGTTTACTTGGCTTTGAGCTAAGTGTCTTCCCAAGACTCGCAAATTGTCTTCAACAAGTGTATACTGTTTGTTGGGTAAATGCTACATACATAACTTAATAATATAAGGTCGATATAGAACACTTTAAAATTAAAACCATATGAAATCTCTATATTCAGAAATCTCTATTGCAATTTCCCCAGGTTTAGGTAGCATCAAAGGATTCCAAACGATTGCATTTCCCTGGTAATCCTAGAGAAAGATGTCTGAGGAGCTAATGGCTGTCACATGAAAACGAGTAAAACAGTAACAGTAACAATTATAATAATAAAACTTGTGGTTTATACAGAGGCTGCTAGCCAATGCAACTGTTGCGATGATGTTTTAACACTTACTACTAAGTTATAGGCCTACATTTTTTTTACAATTTCAGAAAGGCTACTTTGAAGTGATGTCTTTTTTTTATGTAGGCTATAATCTATTTACAACACAGGTCGGCGTTGGTCATGTTTTGATCTTATTTGGCTACGTTTTTGATACAATTATTATTAAAAGCAAATTTGTAAAAAATAGCTAAGCCATTTTCCATCCAACATGCGTTTTAATTTACCCTCCCTTATTTTTTTAAAACAATGGCCAGAGTTCTATGGAGAGAAAAAAACGCTACAAGCGTTTGTAGCTTCTACAGAAAAATCCAAATGGTAATGCGCATCATGTTAGGATAAACGAAAGAATGGAGAATTTTGTCTATTTATGACAGCAATATTGGTGGGATTCCTGATCCCTCTTGACAAAATAGAAGGGTGGTCATAAAGTTGACGCTCTCTGCCTCCTTGTGACTCTTCGTCTGTTTATGGGACCTCTCCTTTTTTCCTCTTTTTCACCCATATAACCATAAAAGGACCATAAAATCACTCCTTGGTCTCTTCTTTCTCTTCCGCTTCTTTCTCTTCTGCCTCTTCCCCTTCACCGTCCTCGTTCCCCTCTTCTTCGGCCTCGGCTTCGGCCTCTCCTCTTTGACCCGGAAACTTGTCTTTGTTGTTCTCTTTTTTCCACTTCATCCTTCTGTTCTGAAACCAAATTTTCACCTGTCGCTCGGTGAGGCTCAGGGCGTGAGACACCTCGATCCTTCTCTTACGGGTCAGGTAAGGGTTGAACAGAAACTCCTTCTCCAGTTCAAGAGTTTGGTAGCGACTGTAGGTTTGCCTCCCATTCCGTCTTCCTGGGGCTTGAAATATGAAATAAAGCCAGAGGTTAACAGGGCTCACCACGATCTCCCCATAAAGACATTCAGATGGCTGATAATTCTTTCTGAATTTACTCATTTCCTCTGCACAATCACTAACCCATTTCAGCTCTCACACATGCCAGATCACACTCAATGAAAAGAAAGAGCGAGTAGATGTCTTCTTGCAGTGTTAAGCTGGGTAAGTTAGATTTTCCATTAGCAGGAACATATATCAGTGTACACACAGACCACCCACAATAGAGTCCGTAGTTTGCTTGGGATCTGTAAATAAATGTCTTCAAAGTAATAATAATTTACACACATGCCTGCTTCATTTACAGTTCATTCTGCAGGTCTGATGCAACTTTACAACCACATCCCCCAAGAGTTAGTGGAGTAGGATATAGTATTATTACTTTGAAGTTCAATTTTTAATCTGTACACGAAGGTAAAATTGCTCTACATCCCCCATCAATTTAATGATGTTAAAACTCTACGAACAAAATCTATATACTCCTCCATGTCAGATTGGGAGGGGTGTTTACAGAAACTACACTGTTTCCTCTTGCAGCAGAGCCCATATAAACTTGACTGACATTTTCATTCATACTCATACAGGAGGACAATAACTAGGTAGGTAAAAGTATGAGAAGACAGAGATAAAGTTGGGGACGATATTGGGATGCATGTCTCTGAGCAGAAATGAAAAATGAAGCGCACACCTGTGTGGAGCTAAAGTAGCCTTATAGCCTGGACAGAGAGATCCATGAATGGAAGGGGTAATATCTACAAAGCCCTTATGATTATGGCTGTATGTGTCTGAGCCTACAGTGGGCCTGTGGGTCAAATTACCCCCAAAACTCTAAAACCCGGATTCTGGATAATCGTGGTATGTTGTGTTTTAGCTAACCCCCTGTCACTCTGCATGCTGCTGGTGTGCATGGTATTATCGTATTTTAGACTACGACTTATCCATCCATTCTCATAGCTCTATTAGAGTTTGTGAAATATCTTATGTGAACGATAATTGACTTCAAAGAGCGTGTCATGTGGCTGTAATCAGCAATTCAGCGTTTAAAGGCACTTTGGAAAGCAACCATTCAGCCCTGTATGGGCATGTGCTGCAGAGTAACAGCAGCCTGCACTTCAGGTTCTATGTGCCCCATCATGTTCTCTGACTTATTTCGTTTTATAGTTTAGAGACATACTCTTGTACACCCTATGTATTTAGCACACATGCACAATCACACACACATACACACACACACGCACAGACAGGCGGATACACAGTGACACGCGCGCACTACACGGCAACACTGAAAGAATAGGAAAAATTTGTATGATTCTGACCGTGGGGTCTCATCCAAGGAAACATAAGACTGGGAGAGGAGTTTTGATTTAAGTGGCCTTGTCCTTCTCCGGGGTTAGAGCTGCTCGACGATTTACAGTCTGGGTATTGCGCTAGGCTTGCGTCTTGTTGGGTACCATAAAGCGTTTGCCTTGGAAGGGCTTCATATCCATAAAATTTCGTTGCGTCTCCGTGGCAAGCCAAAGCGCAGGGGTTTTGCTGGTATCCGGGGTTGGAGATCCCCGTGGTCCCGTGGTGAAAAAAGTCCTGCACATGATGGGATGGGTGCTGAAAGCCCGGTGCGGCTGCTCCGGGTCCGTAAACTAGCGTGTGGCTGCGGGCAACGCTTTGTGGAAACCTGCAGTCGTAGTAAGTTGGCTCCAGTGACTCGCTGCCTTTGTATTTAGAAAAAAGAGGGTTAACAAAATAGGAGCTCATGTTTAGTTAGCATCAAGCAGACGGGCTCTCTCGCAGCAGAATATCTCCTTTAGGATGATGGCAGCCTTTTGTTTAGGGTCCCAACTCGCACAGCGCACACAAGCAGACAAACCGGAACTAGGAGAAACGCTGCCCCTTTGGACAATCTACGGCAGCTCACTCTCTCTGAGCCGTTCCTCTCATCGGATTTCTCCTCGCAGTCGTGAGTGGGTTTTTTTCCAGGTTTTGCAGTCTCAAACCCGGCTCATGGCATGTGCTTTGGATGTGTGTTAGCTAAGGTTACAGCTGGCTCGCTCGACCGGCACAGTCACAGGCGCTGCTCTTTTCTTTCTTTTTCCTTTTTTTAGATTCCCACCCAACCACCCCCACCACAGGTCTCTCTCTGGCATCTATCACATCGTCTCTCCACACAGTCCCCCCCCCCCCCCACCCCCCACCCCTTCATCTTTCCATGACCGGTCAGACGTGGGCCCTACGTATATCCACCTTGAGAAAGGCTTCACTAATCATAACCAACAATCTAAGAGGCTGTAAATATGATCAATGTTAAGTTTATCACACAAAAAAACCTTTCTTACAAGCTGAACAATTCAGTTGTGAAATGGTTACGATATAAAGACGATGAAGCATGATACATTTCCTGTGTAGTCTGAATTTATAGTTTTGCTTCTTTGTATGGGGGTTATGAGGTGTTTAAAGCAGGGAGGATTTCCCCTCTTTCTAAGCGGATTAAGATGCTTTGATGAGGTATTTTTATTTTTGTATTTTTTTTCTATCATGCCCTGAAGGTTATATACAAGTTCCCAGAAAACAGTTGGCCTTTCTTGGGCTCCATTGGGTCGGGATGATATTTGGGAGTTTATCAACAGCATTAAAACGGTATTAAAAATAAAAACAACACAGATTCGGAGCTATTCAGTCCCCCGAGCAAAACACCGAATTGAAGACAAAACATTCCTCGATGCAAAACCGTGTAGAGGCCAAGGCGACAGATTTCCGCCAGGCGCTCCAAAGCACCGATGCACGCAAATATAAACACGACCTATGAATGCTATAGGTGCCATTTACTGACCCCGTAAAACCGACGAGGATGGGCAGTAAATCTCACACGGGGGAGTTCATAAAATTTAACATTGAATGTTTAGGTGCAATCAACTCGCACGATTCCCAGCTCAGTACTCGCGTGGTCTCTATGCCTGTGTGGGTTTTTGTGGGGTTACTGACGGTTTCTACACATCATCGTAAAATATGAAAGGCGCACTGGACGAATTTATAGACCTTTCACACTCTATAAATATGCAGATTGCTAATCACTTGTTGGAGAATTTGAATTGTTGGTACAGACGTTACAACCGACACGGACTGAGGACTAAAATGGTACAGGTAGCCCTTTCTTTACTGGACATATTATTATTATCATTATTATTATTATCATCATTATTATCATTATTATTGTTGTTGTTATTATTATTATTATTGATGCAGCGGTTTATGCTTTTGCTGATTTTGTTATCGATGTGTTGCTTTGTTGCCATTTATTTATTGCACTGATTTTATGTTACAGATGCAACTGTTTAAAAACTGCTAATAAAGGAGTCTCTGGCTGAATGTGATTTTCGGCTCTTTATTAATTGTGGATTTTTTAAATACTTTTTTTAATAAAGTGTCTCAGTCTGGTTTGAATTTGCAGCTTGAAAAGCAGAGGCAGCAAATATAAAAAACACACACAGATTATGCATTATTATGTATTATGCTTAATTAAGTTTTTGTAAAAGGCTATGAACATGTACTGCATGTATATTGCAGATATGATTTTGCGTTTTTAGAATTGAGCACACAACTACCACCCACAAAACAGCCGTATTAACTCATGAATCCACAGACAATGAAAGAAGCTACAAAAAAAAACGAGTGAATAACAAAAGCATAATCTTTTTTTCTGAAGTGAAAAAAAGATTACTATATTTGCACAGATTGTTTGGCCAGCACAACAACCAGCTGGCTGCATTCCGGATTGCTGTTCTGTGGCCTATTACACAAAATGTGGTTGGTGGCCATATCTGTCATTTTGTCATCGATAGGTTACTCTTCACTCTTCAGCCAAGCCACAGAGCTGTAAAAAAGCTCTTCAACGCAGACACACTCCTCAAAACGTGGACATACAGCGTCATCTAGTGTCGAAATGTGTCATTAAACCTGAATAACTCCACCAATCAGCGACAACTGCTATGTGGCCAGAAAGGGTTGAATGTATAGAGGATGTGTGCACCCTGTATTTTTCTTTAAATAAAGTTAAAGCAGTTAATTACTGTGGAATCTATAAAACACGCGCCTTCTGTCTTCGTCTTGCTTGTCTGTAGACTTGAAATAGTTGCTGTGCTGTCGTTTCCTGTCGTGGCAGCTGATCACTTTTATACACGAGATAATAGCGCTCTGCAGCACTCACATTTATGCACAATGGTTATTGACTTTTCCCATCTAATTGTAGACTAATAGACGACTCATATGATGAAGTGCAGGGGGTTTTGCGGCTGGCCCAGTCAGGCAAAAGTCCCCAGAACAGTGCGCATGCTTCTCCTTTGAACGAGTCCACCACCAGCGTCCATTAAAACCATAAAGTAATTTAGCCCAGACGTCTAGCCAGTTAGTCGAGTTTGCTTTGTTGGTCTGCATTTGAGACAAACAGCCGAGCTCCAACAGGGGCTGTAAAACTGGCATTTTTGTCCAAGCAGAGCGGAAATGCACTGGATTGGGCTTTGAAATTACAGCATCCTGTCCGTATTGTTTGCCACCACAAAAAGGCAATTTAGGTCTATCCCAGGAAACAAATGCGAGACATGGGAAACTGTCTCTCGCTTAAAACGAAACTTTTCAAATCTGGTCTCAGATTTTCTGATCGCCAATGAGCCTGGCAATGCAATTAACATTTAGTTAGAAATTGTGTTTAATTGGTGGTTAATGGGTTTTTTAGTACTCTTTCGGAAACTGCACAAATGTGGTTGATGGGCTACTTTCAACTCATATAGGGCATTGACCTAATAAAGAAATAAATATGGTAAAAACCTCGTGCATTCATCTCTGTCCCTATAAGAATATTATATGAACAATTTAAAAAGGATCGCCTATTTTAAGCCAGCATTTAAAATGTTTTGGTACATTTTAAAACCTTAAAGAGACGTGCTTTTGGGAGAAATTTATATAAAAAAATTACTATGTATTTTGTTATTGATATAAAACATAATCAATTCTGCGTTGAGAGTTTTTTTCAGGTCTACTTACTCTCCTAAAATGGATAACGTATAAAACGGTATGAATGTGAATGTTTGCGACTAAGAAGCTGTAATTAAGACACAAGTGCAAAGCGATGCCAAGCAAAATTAAAACAATGTTGTCCCAGTAAAGCCTTAAATAGGCTACGCCAAACTTTCTATTTCGCCATTATGTGTAATAGCAGAGCTCATTTAGGCCTTTAATGTAATGGGGGCACACTCAGCGGCCAAAACAGTGCGTACTAAAAAATGTGAAGGAACTTTTATTAATAAATCAACCGTCTTTTGCGTTTGTAGTTTTGGTTGGGTCCGTTTTCCTGTTGTTTTGAATTTCAGAAATTTTTGTATCCATTTACTTATTTTCTAGTACGGGGTAATACTGCTTTGGATTCCCCTGTACAGCCGTGTAGTCTGCTAAATCCGATCGCAAAAACACAGTCTGCAAAGCCACAATAAACACAGAAAACAAGAGCTTGGGATTATGGTTATATTTGCAGAGGTCTATATCTACACTCTATAATTAAACTCGTAGGCTACATTCAAAAAAAGGAGAAAGAAAATGTGCACAAATACAGCTACAACTATCACAAAAATACAAGACAGACATGTCGACCGCAGATGTTGCTGTACAAAATACTACACCTGCACAACAGCGTACAAAGAAAATAAACATGAAAGAAAACATTCACAGCATAAATTATGGTTTTTGTGAAATTCAAAGGAATTCAAGTATTCTCTTTCTCCGGACAGTTTAAGCGTATCCAAACTGCGCTTCTTTAATTTCTTTTACAAAACCACATATCTCGAAGTGAAAGCAAAGTGTAATTCTCTCCTTAGAAGTTTTCCGTTTTCTTTTTTCGTTCTTTTTTTCCTACTTAAACGCTCGACACATAAATGTACACTAAAAAATAATATTCGGCATCAAACAGTCTGGAAGTTAAGGTTAATACAAAAAAATCCAACAAAAGTGATAAATATAAGGAGGAGAGGGGCGCTTGTCGTGTGTTTTGGTACATCTGTGCTGTCCATTAGACTAGTGGTTATTGTTGGTTGTTGTGTCACTGTAGTCCACATTATTGGTCTTTGCTGTCGGTCTTTTCTTTGTTCATCTTCTTCATCTTCATTCTCCGGTTCTGAAACCAGATTTTGACCTGCCTCTCAGTCAGATTCAGCACTCTGGCGACCTCGTATCGGCGGTCTCTTGTAAGGTACATATTGAACAGAAACTCCTTTTCCAGTTCGAGAGTCTGGTACTTTGTGTAAGGACATCGCTTCTTCCTTGTGGAGCGGGCGTGTATCCAATTTGCCACAGGGTTATCTGCAAATACAAACAACAGCAATGATAAAGACAGAATAACAATATAAAGCTAAATTGTGAAACAGATGACATCAGCATTAACTGTTCGGCCTTTAAAAAAAATAAATTGAATGAGCCCCTGGATTTATAGGAAATCTGTGGACTCATCAGAAAGTGCAACAAACTGAAAACAGTGCCAAGGCACACACAAGTTTGGGTGTACGTCGTTAAAGCTAAACTGCCAGTTAACATTTTAAGGAAAGATTCTCAGTCTTACACTTTCCAAGCCTCCACTGATTTGCTTCCTTGTCCCCTTAACTTGTGAGTAACACCGTCGTAAAATACTCAATGCGCTTATTCACTTTATTGGCCCATAAAATGGCCCGTGGTTCAAGCCTTTACAGGTCCGTGGTGAAAGTCCTCGAGTATGTCCCTACATTCCTCAAGTTGTCTGAAAAAAAGAGTCATGTGAATTTGTTTTGGACCCAGAGAAGAGAGCAGATAGTCATATGCATCCATACACATGTATGTAATCTCTTCACTATGTGAAAACCGTTTTTATTTCCTTTTATTCCATCTGGGGGTCAAACAGAGCCAGAATGTGGCTTTTCCACACGGAAAGGGCCCATCTAACAATACAGGACTTAAATTCGGCTTACAGGGTTTGCTGTGCCATCTTTAATAGCACGGGGTCAACATAAAGTCGTAACAATGCACCATATGACGAATATGGATTCTTAAGTGAGTTTAGGCCACCTTTAGAACACCTTGCATGTGTTTTAAGCTTATGCAACATCCTCCCAAATTCAACGTCTTCCTGTAGGTTTGAGTCCATGTTAACAACCCCGTCTGGTTTTATTGCCCCAATATTAGCCCAGAAGCATTTGTCTTTTATAGTTCCTAAAGCTTGCTCCCTATAGCAAGGAGCGATTCAGAGCTGAGCTGAAAGGAAGAATGCAGCAGTTTATAATTTTACTTTTAAGCAGGACGTTCAAATGGCTCTGAGCAAAAGTATATTTAAAGCTATCCCCCCCAAAAAAAAACACCCACCGGGCTGTAAAAAGATCGTATAGGCGCTTGAACTTACTCGGATCTAGCTCCGGTTTCTCATCTTTATGTTTTCCTGAAGCCATGAGCTCCGACTCAGGAGAGGGGAGATTCTGCTGCGTCTTGTCTCGCGTGTCAGTGGATGAGCAGTACAGATAATCCGTGTAGGTCCGTCCGCTGGAGCCGAGACACTCGCCGGCTCTGTGTTCTTGAAATGCATCGGGCTTCAGCCCGTAGTGCCTGTTGTTCCCCGGATAGCCATGGAAAGGCACGGCGCCTGATATCGGCTCCAGCCATGACCGCACATATCTCGAGTCTGTGCCTAAGTGAGGTTGGTGACTGTATGGATGGTAAACCACTGATGACTGGGAGTGTACAGGGGCCCAGGAGGTGGAGAAGACGGGTGGCTTGGGTGCGAAGCTGCAGGAAGGATAGTCAGCACACTCCGGTACTAGCGACGTCGGACGAGGACCGGCTGGGTGCGAACCGGGCGCCGAAAAACGAGTTGCAGTAAGGACATCGTCGTTTTCATGGCTGATCAAGGAGTCCACATAATAATTACTTATGGGACCCGTGGTCGACATGTCGAAGCTTCACCGACTCTTTTACATGCATCCGATTATTATATGGAGTGTATGTGTACTTTTTTTTATCTAGCCATAGAACAATCAAGGCAGGTAATTATTTCTCAACGCTTCCCGGGCTGCTATTGGCTGCCTCACCAACACGTGATTATATTTACCCCCACAAAAATTGTACAGTGGATCAATGCGCCACTTATCTTGGGATACCAGTACACATAAATCGGATTAAAGAATATAATCTTTTACTATTTTTTCTCGGAGGCACAGAGGCAATTCCAAAAACTATGTTCTTTCATGAAGAAAATACGCATTTGTAGTTCTAGTAGTGGATCTACCTCTAGTCGCACAACAGACCTGCGCACATTACGTCTAAGAGCAAGGCACTATTTGATGGTGTAATCAATCTTTGTCTGGCAAAATCTACCGTAGCGCCATGCTGTTGCAAGGGATAGTATTACAGCAAAGTGTTTACCGAATCGTTTACTCTTATATCTTTATCAAACCACGCTTTAAAGCACGTTTGATAAAGCGGAGGTGTGAGAGTTTCCTGCGGCATGAGGTTTATTTCTTAGGAGAAAAGCCTCCACGGTGGCTAGATATAGCTGGATTGGATACTGGAGAGACTGAATCAAAAATACGAGGATGTAGCATACGCCACTAATAAAGTTTGCACTGTTTTAACGAGGATACAGCAAACATTTCCTAAATGGGATCTGCAGAGATAGGAGAGGTGGGGATTCAGATTCTTGACAAGCAGCCCACTACGGCGCGCTATATTCGGCTAGTGACCGTTCATGTTTTTATGCCCATCAATAAATTTTAACGAGGACCATTTGATTGTTCATAAACGTGTCGTTAATAAGACTGCATCCGAGTTCCTCGCTCAACATTAAACCGGCACCACCACCACCACTATGAGTATCTGAAACAATTCATATGAAACAAGAAGGGCCGAAGACAGCAGAGCGGACTTTGGAAGCAGAAGAGGTAAAATGGTTCATTAAAAGGCTAACTGTGAAAGCTTTAATGACAGGGGTAATGTTACTGTTGTATCCAGTGGCATGAGTCTGCTGTTTTTGCCCTGCAATGCACATGGGTAGCTTGTCAGTTAGCAGGCAGTGAAACAAGAATTGATTCTTAAATAGAGATGCAGAGACACAGCAAATAGAAGAGGATCAACTATACGGTGATACAGGAGCAACTAAAGTAGCCACCGGCGTCATACAGAAGAAAATATAATGCATTTGCGGAGGGTGGATGAGGTAGATAATATAGATGATGAATTATTAATTCCTAAAAGCTGCACACGTTCCAGTGTGTGTGTGTGTGTGTGTGTGTGTGTGTGTGTGTGTGTGTGTGTGTGTGTGTGTGTGTGTGTGTGTGTGCTTTTACCCACACTGTTATATTTTGCCCATATGTTGTATTTGGACTATTTAATCTGTTTTATGCAGTATTTATTCTTTTATGTGCAACTGCAGGTTTAATGTTTCAGATAATATCGTTTCTGCTGTGGACTAGTTGTTTATAAAAGGAATTGAACTGGCAAAAAAAAAGGTTAACTGATTGCAACCTTTAAGACAAGAAATCCATTTTGGGACGTGCAAAGCTGACAGTTATGTGCAAACGAGAAAATATGTGGTGTGGAAGAACAAGTCACACTTCACTGTGGCAAACATTATCTCAAACTGGGCTAAAATACAGTTTCATGCACTGAAATATACGAAACAAGAGTTTAACAACAAAGAAAGAAAGAAAAAAGAGCGAAAAGAATGATTGTAATAAAATGATAATTATCCCAATTTGCAACATCTGTAGCGTTGGCGTTTAAAAACGAGCCTTTGTCAGCGCCAGGCTAAGGAATAAACGATGCCGGTAATTATCCTAGATCAGCTAGAGTCAAAATACAGTTTTACATTTGTTGATTAACCGACACGATATTCAACATTTTGGCTTCGTGGTGTAAAACAACGTGCATCAAATCATATACGCAGTAGGAAGTCCTACGTTTGTGCTCGCTGCTGAGTTCAGATTCAACCATGAAATTTAAAAGACCAGACGGCGGACCTTAACCCGGATAACTCCAAACGGTGTCCTGGTGTGTGCTGATGAATGCGCAGCTCTGAGCCTAGTTATTGTTCACCCACAGGTTAATCGAGACAAAGAAATTTACCAAATGTGCTAATCAGTTCTTTTATTCATTTGTTTTTCTGGAGGTTTAACATTTGCAGTCTGCTGATTTCAGATATTCCCAGTATAATGAAATAGTACTCAATGAGCAATTATTACAATCTGATCGTAAAGACGGATTCGAATATATCCTGTATCGATGTCTGCAACAATGCACTAATATCATTTTTATTGTTTTGAAGTGTGCTTTTGTTTCCGTGTGTGCGTGTGTGTATGTGTCATTAATGAGAAGTAACTTCTGTTCAATTATCTCCCATCATCCATTTCACTCTTGTATCCGTCTTATTTTGCAATAAATAAAAAGTATTTTTTATATAAACCATTTGTTGTTCGTCGTTTCTTTTTTCTTTTGATGAATGTCTGTCCTTAATCTCTATTCTTCCAGGGCACAACTACACTTGCAGCTGAACCAGCTGATAATATACTGTCGCAGAAAATCCCCTTTTGTTGCATGACCAAACACTGTCCTACTTTAGTTCCATAACATTTTATAGAGAAACACAACCTCGTGTAGCAGAAGTGACTGTTTTTGTTGAACACATGCACTCTAAAATCAACAAATCAAGAGTGAAACTTGACAAATCAAAAGTATACGGCTAAAAGTTTAACTGGAGAAAAATACAGAACCGTCTGTTTGGCTTGTTTATGGGATTTGTAGTCGTCTGTGGCACAGTTGGTTTTATATCTGAGGTTTCAAAAAATCTCATATTGGTCTAATAACGATTTGTAATCTATGCAATATATGACACTGTCTATTACAGCGAGTCTACGTTTTCATTTTACTACAGTCGTTTGTCCTTCTGACATGCAAAATAATTTATCCAAAAAACGGCTTCTTGAATCAATAGACAATAGACTAACTATAACTCCGCCAACATATGTACGTCGGATTCTGGCATGTATCACTTACACACATTTCCCATGGACAAAAATACACACAAATACAGGTGTTGTAGCAATTTTCAAAAAGCCTATTTGTGCCGCATGAACCAAAGCGTGTGTTTGCAGTGCACTGATGCTTCTTATTAATACGGACTCACAGGCATGTAATCAGTGTTTGCTCCGTCAAAATAATCTTCGCGCCCGCGTTTTTAATTCAGCAGCCACCTTTCACCGTAAAAATGATTGTAGATGAATACAGCAACATGCTTCTCGTGATAATATTAGAAGGGGAACTTCAGCTAAGATCATTAGTACACTTGCATGAAAATCGCCGTGTGTGCGGATTGCGAATTTCTCTGTAAGTGTATCTTTATAAACCCGCAAGGCTACTCAAGCTGATATTACACCCAATGCTTATTCAGATAAACTGACTCATCCTGATTGTCAAGTGAGTCAGAACTCTGTATCTGAGTCTGCTTTTATTAGCAAAACCGGTCCGGGGAAGATAATAAACATGGATACGAGGTGTGCGTTGGAACATGACTTTCTTTTATTAGACATGCCAGTGCCAGAATGGAAGCGCATTATTTTTCCTGTTTAGAGCAGAGATACTGAAAGTAATTATTCTGTCAAATGAATGGTAAGAGCAAGATAACTACTGCAAAATTGACAAGACATCACAAGACATCACAAGTTCTAACTCACACGCGCGCGCACACACACAAATACGAAATAAACGCGTCTCATTTCCCTTTTCCAAAATTAGTTAGTCACGTTCAAATACGACATCTAGGCTATGTTATCTGTTTAAACTACACATAAAGATAATTCAAAGAAACGTTAACACAATGTGTTCATAACGCCCCAAACGCTGAATATTAAGGACCACAGAGTTGCACTATGATCTACTGAAAGGCCAAAAACTACAATAACAAAATATATATCTGTATTTCTCCTCCTGTATTGGATGGAAATCCCAAGATAACCGCTGCACGCCAGTGTTTCAGAGAATCAATAACTGACATTCTTATTCTAATAAATTAGCTTTAAAAATGTCTTTCAAACGCATTTTGTGTCAAAACAGCCCGTAAAGTGATCAGTTCTGAAGCTGATCAATTACAGTGCTGGTGAGCAGGCCTGTGACAGTTTTAATTTTTCGCGCAGTTAATATATAAAACAGCGTAAGTCGCTTTCTCTCTCTCTCCCCCCCCTTTTTCTAAGGCCACGAGTGTCACTTATTTACAGAAAAATTCTATTCTTATTGAGGCTTTCCTTTATAATCCATCCTGAGGCTGGAAAGCGTTCTCAGTTATTAAATGTCATTCAACAAATCCAAAAAAGGCGCATTTTAAGAGTCATTCCTGCACCGCACAAATTGGCAATAGAGCAGTCTTCACATTTTCCATTCCAAAGAAAGAAGGATAACGCCCCTTCTGAATTCAAACCTTAATCAATCTTCTTGGTAAAATGGTAAAAATAAAATAAAACAAATTTCGAAGTGCTACTTTTTCCTCTCTATCATAAAATACACATAATGAATGTGGAAAAGGACAGTAGAAAAAAGGTAAAGGGGGAAACAAAGAAAGAAAGAAAAGCTGTTAGCATATTTGGTTCATGTCTGATCATGCCAGCAGCAGTGAGACATCTTGAGCTGTCCCAAAGGAAGCGGCTGTGTAAAGGCTTCAGTTCCTGTGCGCAACTACAAAGTGGAATAAATTACTTTATGTGTATATGGTTTTAGGGTGAATCTGTGCAGCTCTCGGGGCTGTTTTCGGCGCTGTAAAGTCTTTGTCAGTGGTGCATTCCAAGAGAGACACTCATTCACTGAGCTGAATGAAAGTGACTTTGGATTCCAGACTGTCTCTTCCACTGGTGCTACCGCTACAAGGAGGGGGCTGAGAAAACAAGGGGAGATAGTGACTAGCATAAACACTGGACTGCCTTTCCAAAAAAAAAAAGTGCTTGCAGAATAAGCAGCTCTTTCATCAATAAGTTATTGTGTTTCATTGACCGCTGACGTAAGCTAAAACCCCTTTTCTGACAGATATCTAGTCATTTTTGAGAGTTTCTTTTCTATTTTCCTTCCCCCCTTTCATTAATTTTAACTATAATAAAACAATGTTTATTACAAGACATAAAGTTTTGCCAACTATCGGTGACCGTCAGTGAGTTTAGATTCAAACATAAATATCATTCATTTCTAAATTCACGCTAGAAATGAATGGTTACTCTGATAATTTAATTAATTTAAGTGCCATTAGTCCAAAAATGTACACTGAAAGTGTTGCGGGTCGACTCCAATAAAGATATAATGTGTGCCCATTATGTTTTGGAAACTTAGCCACAACACATAACAGATGAAACCGTGTAAAACCCAGGATATTCTTCCGCATAGTGGTCCGTGGAAAGACAAAATAAAGTTTCAAACATTTAAGTAGAACCAGAGGGAACACAACTGAAAGACATAAAAGACCCAAACACACAAAGATTTTTGTAGGAATTTGTACTAAAAATGTAACATTTTGAATCTTCAAAATGTGGCTAACGGAGCGATTGTTGTTTGTGTGTATTCTAATGTTTTCTAGTAAACAGTCATCAGTAGCTATTGCTGGAAATGACAAAGTAGCTTTTTGTGTTGACGTTAGGGAGCCTATCGCTGCAAAACTTCCCAGCAAATTGGAAGTTGGAACTGAACACTTAAAAGAAGTTGTGCATTAGCAGAAGAGAGAGCTCAGATGAAGTCATAGAAGTGTCATTAGCATAAATGTCCTGTTACACATTTAATTAGTTAAGTCCGCGACATATCCAGCCACCTATGTATCCATGTCTCTTTCTATCTCATCATAAAACAGCTGAAACAACGAAACCTAAACGGACAGCCAGTGATGACAGATGCACCACTACGCAGTCTAAAACTTTACCCCATGTTGTTTACAACCTATTCTCCTTCTGAGAGCCTCTGGGAGGTTTTACAGCCCACCACAAAAATAACAGCAAAGAAAGAAAACGTCTCTGTCCAAGGTATTGCAACTCAGTTCATTTACAATGCCATTTGCGGGGACCTGTGTGACTATAGGGGGTAATTCGGCGGAAATTGTGCCCTTGATGAAGACGAACTGACGTAATCAAGGCAGTTTCTTGTTGCCGAGCCAGGAAGCCAACCCCAACAACATGAAACTACCTAAACCACGCTTCAGCTTCGCGCAAAGGGGTTTACAAAAAATATCCATGGAAAGGACAATGCATGAAAAGCCAAGTGGGGATTAACACTATCCAGCACTAAGGGAAAAGGCGAGTATGATACACACTGTGGTCTGCAATCATGCTGCTTTTTACGCTGCCTGTAGACACATTAGATGTGCCATGACTTTTAATTGTATCGTCTCAAAAACCGCATCCATCTAATTTTGCTACTCTTCTAAATTCATAAATATTATTGTGCCAGCGCAGCGTAAATTTAGTCCATTCGTTAAGTAAACATAGCCTAAAAATCCAGTCCAGCAAATCTCCAGAGCTAATCCAAAAAACAAACAAACAAACAAAGAAAACAATCAGCAACCAGCATCGTGATTCGAGAAAGAAACTGAGTAGCAATCAGCAGCACGCTGAAACAACTTCATTCAAACTACGGACGCGAGCAGGCGTGCACCGTGCGTGCCAAATGAGCTGTCAGGCAAACTTCTCTGACAGATGCGCCACACTTCCCGAAACAGGAAATAAAAATATTACGTAAAACCGGGTCCTACCTTCACTTGCCTTCGGTAGACGCCTTCCAGATGCGCTTTGTTATCCACGTGTTTGCCGTGACGCTTGTTATTATTGTCACTGGAGCCGTCGCGGTCGCTGTCCTTTTATCCACCATCCTCCTTATCTCCATGAAGCTCCACTATCCCCGGGGTGGAGGCGCCTGCTCCTGCCAGCCCAGCGCCTCTCGGCTGGGTCCTGCACACTGCAGTCTCTGCTGTGTGGATTAGCCCTCCTCCACACACACCTTTAAACGCATCTTTACTGCTGCAGCACATTATATTTGCAGATCATAAAATCCACCCCCAACGCTTTCCAGGGCGAACCTGACATTAGAATTTTATGACCTTGACTTACTGTGGTCACCTGGATAATATTTAAATCAACGTTATGGTCTCTCACTTCTATTAAAACTGCCATGATCTCCTTCTCTCATCCGCAGTGTCTCTCCCTCCCTCTCATTTTCATTGCTATGCTAGGGGAAGGACAAAGTTGGAAATAGCTTTTTATCTAATTCGCCCTCCTTTCTTTCTTTTTTATTGTTTTGGAATCGTTCGCCATGACATAGTTTAATATCATCGCGTGCATGCACATTACACACCAAGGAAGAAGCAGCAGCACAAGTGGCATTTCATTCATTGAAGCTCAGCAAAATGAAACCGCTTACATGCCACTAGTTATTTATAGACTGCGTGAATGTCGCCTCCTCTTTTCCTTTGGTTCATGTTATATTACAATTAAAATTACAAGCTAATAGCACCTTACTGTTCCAGTGTCGCTACAACTGTTTACCTGGAAAGCTCAGGTCTGGTCTGCAAGTTGCAGCGTTTAGATCGTTCATATAGGAAGGCACGATGTGTGCACGTGTGCTTAGTGTGCACATAAGGAGAAAGATCACTAAATAATTGCTGGATGTATCATTTATAGACACCATGCATATCTGTTGATATCTTTGCCTGGGCTGTCTGTGTGCGTGATTTGGATGTAATGGATGTGATGCATGGTGTGTGTGTGTGTGTGTGTGTGTGTGTGTGTGTGTGTGTGTGTGTGTGTGTGTGTGTGTGTGTGTGTGTGTGTGTGTGTGTGTTTGTTAAATATCTGCTCAGGAGTAGTTGTAGACTGCGCTCTGTTCCCTTTCTCGGCTCTCCCTGTTTAGCTTCTTGAGCTTCATGCGTCTGTTTTGGAACCAGATCTTGACCTGTCTGTCGGTCAGGTTGATACTCCGGCTGATCTCCAGGCGGCGCTCCCGAGACAGATACATGTTGAACAAGAACTCCTTTTCCAGCTCCAGCGTCTGATGCTTTGTGTAGGGACAGCGCTTCTTCCTTCCACTTTTGGCTTTTAACCAGCTTCCCGTTGTCTTTTCCGCGGACAAATCATCTATCGGAGCGAGAGAAATAAGACAGTGAGAAAACAGGCGGCCAAATCCCGACATTTTGCGCGGAGATCTTCAAGGCGTTGATCAGTACAGTAGATGCTAGGTACACGCCCACATCTTCTAAATGCACATTCAATACCGTTCAAAGAAATCCAAATTAGTAGTTTAAGAGAACAGCTTCACCTGGGTGCTTCACCTCCGCTCTTACTCGAACAAATGAACTACATCGAGCATCGCACCTTTTCTAACAACTCCTACTGCTTGCAAATTGCTTCTGTAAGATGTACAACTATAATTAGATGGAATCAAACGAGGGTGTGCAGACACTTCCTTTGTCTATGTTGGACCTCAGACTCCCATAAAACTTTATTACCTTTGCACACCGGAGCCAGATATATTTTTTATTTTTTTTTAGCTTCATCTTAAAACAAGAGGCGGTCTCTGCAGCATGATACCAGATTTAGGGGGGGGTAAGGACAAAGAAACAACGCATCGAAGTACCAGCAGCGGAAAAAATCACACTGCTGCGCTGCACACTCACTTAATTTCTTGATTAGCTCGCAGACTCTAGGGAATAACGCCCCCCCCCCTCCCCCAACGCCACACATGTATAAACACCGGCAGATTATTTTAATAATTACCCTAATGTGAACAGTCTCTGTGTGCCCAACATTTAATCATTACCAAAACATTTAATTCCGTAATTTAATTCTCACGAACACGCGCAAACACACAGACAAACACACCCACCCACCCACACACACACACACTCTCCCCCTCCCAAATCCAAATATACACAAACACAGACCCTACAGCATTGTCCAATTAAATTAAAAATAATAAGCATAGTGTTGATCTTCATCTATAAATAACAAGGTGAAATTCACTTTAAATAAGCTAATGAAAAATATGTAATAACTTTAAGATTCATTACGGGTGTTATACCAGTGCCATTACGACTACTAATACTAATGCTGCTGCTATTACTATAACTACTAATACTACTACTAATAATAATGATAATAATAATAACTAGAAATACAAAAAAACGATCAACAGATTGTGGTCTTACAGAATTAATTTACCTCTGCATATTTTGTCAAATATAACGTGTCAGCTTTCTTTCCTGAAAAAGCAAAAGTATTGTCCAACGTGTTCTTTTAATTGTTTTACGTACACCGTAAAATTAGTGGCCTTTCATGAGCTTACATTCTGTCTATTAT